GTTTTTTGGGGTTTTGAGTCTGAGTTTTGGGATTGGGGTTTTTGGGTTTTTGGGTTTTGGGTTTAGGGTTTTGGGTTTTGGGTTTGGGTTTGGGATTTAGGGTTTGGGATTTAGGGTTTAGGATTGAGGTTTGAGGGTTTGCGGTTTTGGGTTGAGGGTTTGGGGTTTAGGGTTTTGGGTTGAGGGTTTGGGGTTTAGGGTTTGGGGTTTGGGTTTAGGGGGTTTCCTATCAAGGCTCTGTCCCAAACGGTCCTAAGTCCTAAGTACCTTTTTAGTAGAAGGTCGGTTTTCTACAGTAGGAATTACTATTATATGGTTTGGGAAAGTATCCCGCATGTAAGTACTTCGGACCCTCCGGATAGAAGCTTCAGGGTGTATAGTAAGGTAGATGGGGTACTTTAACATTTGTTTTTTTGGTGGCTCTAAGCGGGTTGAAGAGGTGTGGTTATAGGGGCTTGTAGGGTGTAGATTTCATTCTAGAGGATTCATGTTGGAGGCGCTGTTCTTGTGTTTTTGGGAGTAGGGAGTTGAGTTTGTGTGTTGTTCCGTTTCCAGGGTTCCGTGATCTTGACCCAAACCCTGCAAGCATCAAGCCGTAGCTTGAGGGGTTCAGGACGCCTTCCTCACCAAGGCCTAATTACTTGAAGCCCTATCAACCCTAAACCCCAAGCCCTGCAGCTAAGCACCTGGACACGAACAGTCGAACTTGAAGCCCGCAACCCTCGGTGTTATACGCCCCTAAACCCTAAACCGCAACACCTCTACCACTACAGTCTACCAGTATTCTGAGAGAGCCCGTTATCCTATACGCCCTCAACTTCATACATCGAGTATCCACACTTGAATGGTTGCCCACCGTTTCCTTGTTCCCTACTCCATAATCATACTATACGATACCCCGAAACCCTAGTAAAATCAATGGTTCAAGCCCCTACAGTATCCCAAAAGGTCGTGGTACTGTTATAGGGGATACCGTCCCAAATCATAATAACTATTCCTAATATAGAAACCCTACATTCTACTATATAGGTACATTGGACCCTCTGGGTATAGCAGTCTCAAAGAGGTCCGTCGTGGAGCAGTCGGGATTGGCCGTGCGGCGGAAGGACAGGTCGGATCCCTCGAGCCCGATATTGTTCCTCGGCGCAATATTTAGGGTTTAGGGTTTAGGGTTGTGATCGAGTTTTTGGGGCCGGATCTCTTGGCATGTGGATTCACTCCTCGGAATCTGAATCCCTGAAAGCCCTGTCACAAACATCACGAAGCCCCGACATTTAAAACCCCTTAGCTAATCAAACTCTAACTCTCCTCCATGAGCCCTGAGGCCACAAAACCCCCAAAACCGCCGCACCCGCAGGCTCCGGCGATACGAGGTGTCTTGGATGTAGCTTGGGAGCTTTTTGTTGTTGTTGTTCAGGGTTTGGGCCCGAGGGGGTCTATAGTCTATAGGGTTCGGAAAAAGGGGGTTTACGGTTCAGGCTACAGGGTTCCCAAAACCCCAAACCCACAACCCTAGAGGCTACAGGATTCGGGTGGGTGTTTAGGGGGGGATAGGGTTTAGGGTTTAGGGTTTAGGGTTTTGCTTCTGTTGCCTGCTTTCTGAAGACTGCTTGGTGGGTTGGAGCCACAAGTTGAGGATTTAGGGTTTAAAGTTTAGGATTTCGTACAGCCCCCTCCCAAATTTCTAAAAGACAGGGAGCTTCATAACCCCAGAGGGCCATTTCGTAGACCGGCTAAGCTTTAAGTTTCTGTGTCTCTCCTCCTTTCTGAATCTTCTTGGTGTTCCCTGGCTTTGCTTTCGGGTTTAGGGGTTGTGTTAGGGTTTAGGGTTTAGGGGTTTAGGGTTTCAGGGTTTTGGGGCTTCTTTCGCAAACCCTAAACCCTATAAGCTGAGAAGCCCCAAACCTTATGCACCCAGAACCCTGGCCAAAAGCCTAAACCCCAAACCGCTTTGGTGGGGTCCTTTTCAGCCTCCAAAAACGTTGGCTCTAGGCCCTTCCAGCCGCACGCCCCAAACCATTCCTGCAGGCTTAGGGTTTGTACAGTTCGGGATTTTTAAGGTTCAGGGTTTAGGGCGGTTTAGGGTTTAGGTTTTAGATTTAGGGTTTAGGGTAACCCTAAACCCCTAAACCTTTAGGGTTTAAGGTATAGGAGCTCTAAGCCCCAAGGAGGTTTAGAGATCCCCTTGGCCAGGAGCAGATTGGCTCCGCCGGCTTTGGGAAAGATCTGACCACTCCGGAAAAGCTCCAGTATACGGACGAGATCCATGGTAGCCATTTGCAGGCTTTGTTTGGTGCTGGTTGTAGCTTAACGTGCTTCCAGGGGATCTGCGTTGGGGTTTGATAGTATAGGCTTGTGGTCTGTGGCACTTCGTCCGTGACATCGAACATGTCAAGGTTTTGATTATGTAGTATAGGTGTATGTGTATATATATATATATTTATATTTATATTTATTTATTTATCGATCTATTTACACGCACATTCGTACGTACACACGCATGTACGTACGTACCTAGGTATGTCTGTATGCATGCATGCATGCATGCATGCATGCATGCATGCATGCATGCATGCATGTATGTATGTATGTATGTATGTATGTATGTACGTATGTATGCATGTGCTTGTTTGATTGTTTGTTTGGTAGTTTGTTTGTTTGTTTGTCTGTTTTTGTTTGTTTGTTTGAATAGCCACGTGATGTCATGGTCCGCAAGCTTCGTAGGATCGTCGAGAATAGCATTCCCGACTTCCTCACCGCTGGCCCTGCCGCATGCGTGCGGGACGATTACTTCTACTGGAAGGGCAACAACTACCGGCCTGAGACAGGCGCAAGAAATCTGATCCAGACTGGGCCCTACACCCTAAACTGCAAGGAAGGTTTAGCATGATATGTATAGTAATGGTATGCGCATTGTGTATTTTGGTAATTTCAGAAAAGGACTTCCGAAGCTTGGCGTGTAGTCTAGCTACCCGTCTTCATGCTCAGCCTTGCTAGTGAGCTGGGGATCGGCATCTTCACCATAAACCCTAAACCCTGATCCCTAGGTCCCAGAACCCCCAAGCCCCCAATCAATCCCTGCAGTGCTTCTTGGGTGTGGTTTTCTCGGTGTTCAGGCAAACCAGTATGGCTGACGCTGGATGAGGAAAACGTGCAGCACATCTTCTTTGACGAGACTCGGCGGAGTGTCGGTGGAGTATCGAGTTGGGAGGTTTCCTGTTGGGGGTTCCCAAGCGCCTTAAAGGGATTACATAGGGCTTAGGCTTTCAGGCTTCGGGTTTAGGGCGTTTAGTTCTTATCCTGTTTGCAGAGTTTGGCTTTGGCACTTAACCTCAGGGTTTCGGAGGTGGTAGCATAAACAGTTTGTCCCGAACAATTGCAACCAAAGGGTCTAGAGGCCTCGACGGTAGATCTGCAAACTTTACAGCCCGAACACTACAAGGACTGCATCCACAACGACCCTGTCTAAACCCTAAATAACCCTAAACCCTAAACCCTAAACCCAAAGCCCCAAGGCCCCAAAACTGCAAGGACAACATCCACAACGATCCAGACGACTCGATCGTTGGGATCCGGGTCCGCGAGTCTGCTTCCGACAACTTCAGGGGCCTCTCTGGCGAGGCGACGCGCCGCCTGGAGGGCGTCTTCCTGGTCACCTGCTGAGGTTATTGAACCCTAAACCCTAAACCCTAAACCGGGTTTAGGGTTTAGGGTTTCAGGGTTTAGGGTTTAGGGTTTTGGGTTTAGAGTTGTGGGGTCTTGTGGGTGTTTAGAGTTTAGCGGTTTTGGTGGATTTAGGGTGGCTTGTCACGTTTCAAACCCGGAGTTCAAGTACTGGGGCCTGAGTAATGTCAGGTGTTTTCTCCATTGGTTATACTACAATGTGCCGCAAAACCTTGTCCTGGTCGTTAAGGCCTTCATGTTACCAGCCTTGTGCAAAGGTGAAGGCGCAGCCAGTGGATGCCATTCTGGACCCAGGCTACTTCTTGAGGACTGGGGCTCTTGTGGAGGTTGAGGGGGCAGGGTGTAGGCTTTAGAGCTAAAGCCGGTGTGGAACTCAGGGGGTGTTTGAGGATCTCAGCGTTTAGGGTTAGGGTAGTGGGTTCTGGGTTTGAGGCTTAGGACACGGCATTCGGGCAGCTCTACGGGCCCAAAGACCAAAACGGTACCTTTCTCCCCAAGCACATCCTCTTTGGTATCGTTGGAAGTAGATGCCGTTTTTGAATACTTAGACCCCCAGTGTTTGCTGTTAACCCTAAACCCTAAACCCTAAACCCTAGACCCTAAACCCTAAACCCTGAACCCTAAACCCTAAACCCTGAACCGTTACTGTTTGAATAAAATTGAATAAATATAGACACCCCGATTTCGGATCCGGAGCCAACGATGTTTTTTCAAGCGTCTCGCTGCTGAGATAACTGGCGACGGGCTTTCGGCTGCAAGGGAAACCCTAAACCCTGAACCCTGAACCCTGAACCCTGAACCCTAAACCCTAAACCCTAAACCGGAACCTGTGAATTTGTCTGAACTTTGCATCTTTGGCACAAGGGACCGTCGAGTTCTTCGTACACCCTAACCCTATTCTAATTATTAAGGCCCGTACATTACAGTTTTGGGGACTTCGGGGGGGGTCCCATACGCAAGATTCCTCATTTGGGGAATCCCCTGGTTCGCTGTTGCCGGTCTTCAGGAACATCCGCCGCTGCGAAGAGAACTTCGACCGACTTCGTGCCGATGGCAGTCTTGCGCGATTGCTGAGTGGCGCGTAAGCCTGAGATAAGCAACGCCAACGTCAGAAGTGGTACCACATCCCTCAGCATCGCAGCAGAAGCCTAACCCCCTGCCTGACCCCCATAACCAAAAAAAAACCCTAAACCCTAAACCCTAAACCCCTAAACCCTAAACCCTAAACCCTAAACCCTAAACCCTAAACCCTAAACCCTAAACCCTAACCGTAAGTCCCTAGCCTACAGACACTTCAAAGCTTACCATGTTACTATGGGCGAAACCCTCATACACCCAAAGCCATCCAAGACCCCTAAACCCCGCAACCCTAGACCCCAAGGCCCTACTCCCCTTAACCTTCGAGCCCTTGACCCCAAGCCCCTAAACCCTCAAACCCTAAACCCTAAACCCCTTAACTTTCGACCCCTAAACCCGGAAACCCTAGACCCAAGCCACACCCTCCCATCTTTTCACTCAAGCTTGACTGGCGCCTCGCAGCGAAAACAGACGGATTCAGATGCCAGAAGTGGCTCCAGGCCCCGGTTTGGGGTTCGGATTTAGGGTTCAGGTTTATAGGGTTTAGGGTTTATATGGTTCATAGGGTTTAGGGTTTAGGGATCTTTTGATTGTATACTGTATCTGGGCTTTCTAGCTCCTAAGTCTTGCTCCTCGCACTCAGACTAGATAGAGATGCAAGAAGCAGACTTGCCATGCACCTTTGCAGGATCTGAAAGGCTTGGCTTAGCATGTAGCCAGTTTTTTTCGGCCGGCGCACCCGCAACCTATCCTAAACCCTATAAAGAGTTGACGAAGATGAGCAAAGGCAGCTTTCTCAGCCTCGAGCCCGCTGCGCACACCTGTGCTGAGGGCCTAGGGGTTTGGTTTCGGACTTAGCAGTTATTCCCTGAACTCCCCTAGGTTGCCTGATGCTGACACTTCGTCCCTAAACCCTAAACCCTAAATCCCTAAACCCTAAACCCTAAACCCCTAAACCCTAAACCCTAAACCCTAAACCCAACCAGATACTTAGAACCCCGCCTTCATCAGGTGCCATCCGAGCGCGACGCGTGCCCGGGAAGCGTCTGCGTGCAAAGCTGCGCAGGTGGCTGATCGGAGATGATTTGCTTGTTTAGGGTTTAGGGTTTAGTTTAGGGTTTAGGGTTTAGGGTTTAGGGGTTACAGGGCAACGTACAATAGGGCTCTTACTATTCCCACAGCCTGAAGCTTATAGGGTTTAGGGTTTACGGTTTCGGATCGCGGCCCTCCGGCGGATTCTGTTTCGGGGGCCCCATTGGGAGACTGTTCTGAGACTGTAGGCTTTCGGGTTTAGTGTTTAGTGTTTAGGGTTTAGGGTTTAGGGTTTAGGGTTGACCCCTCGGCCGTTTATACCGAAAACCCCGAACTACCCGACAGCCCTTCAGCCCAAACCCAAAGCGCGATAAAGCCGAAACCCGAAACACTATAAACCTAAGCCTACACCCTCATAACCCTCAGACCCCTACTACGTACCCTCTATTTGTACCCCAAGATACCCACTAAGGAGCATGACCACTTTGGGGCGTCCTGGTAAGTCTGAAAACCCCCGCTCCCAAACCCGAAACCCGAAACCCAAGCCGTTACCTAGACCCCTCCGCAATATCCCCAAACACACTCCATTTCTAAGGACCATCAGGGCTCCCTTAAAGGATACCTTGGCGTCCTGGCCCTAAACCCAAAACTCTGAACCCTGAACCCTAAACCCTAAACCCTAAACCCTAAACCCTGAACCCTAAACCCTAAGCCCTCGACCCTGAACTCTGAACCCTCAACCCTGAACTCTGAACCTCTGCTTTGCCAGGCAACGTTACCGCGCTAGCGCCCACGGAGGACCCGACGAGCACCGGAACGCCGGGGGACCCAAGGGCTCGAGTTATCGGGTTGGGACGGATGTCTAGTTCGGTTTAGGGTTTAGGGTTTAGGGTTTAGGGTTTAGGTGCATGTAGGCATGGATGTCTCTACGGATGCATGTACGACGTGTTGTATCTTTCGGTGAGTTTATAAGTAGGTTAAATAGTTCTTTAATTATCAACCACATAAGGGGACTTATAACTTATAACCGGAGTTGTAACTACGCATGAACTTCCAAATAGGGCCTGATTAACGATGACTGCTTCAGTGAGCGTTTTCAGAGTGTGTTGCCTGTAGGGCTGAGATACAGTAAGGTTTGGGGTTTAGGTTGCAGGGGTGTGCTTCAGTCTAATTGTTGGGGGTCTGATAAACCAACAACAGTACCCCACCCTATAGGCTCATGCTATGATATACCTATTCTAATTCCTGAGGCTCCTGTAACATCTTATATGGGGCTAGTAAGAGCTATGAACAGCTTCGACGAACCCTACTCCAATGATTACGGCCCCTTTCCCCTAAACCCTAGACGGCCGATAAATACGAGGGGTTCCGGTGCTGGGTTTAGGGTTTAGGGTTTAGGGTTTAGGGTCAGGGTCTTCGAGTGCAGCTTTCGGAGCTTATTGGGGTTTAAGGTTTCGGGTTTCGGGTTGAGGCCCTACCTGGTAACCTGGTAGGAATACAGGGTTCTAGCAGGGTACTATAAGGCTTCAACACGGGGTTGAGCAGAAAAAACGCTCAACTTTAGCAGAATTGTGGCCTCCATATCATCCGACCATCATCGAAACGTTTTTGATTTTGGGAGCCAGGGAACTCTGCAACTAAGCTAAACTTTAAGCCTGAACCGCGCGTACCCACGGGGTTTAGATAGCAAGCTAAACGCCAAACTCTACGTAAAAACTCATGGTGTTATAGGACCTTGCTGCGAGACAGATGTTTCAGCGTTGTTCGGCGAGAGGATCTGGCAGTTCCCTTCATGTACACCGCTTGCTTAGCTTAGGGCTTATATGGGTGGTTGTCAAAATTATGGTCCCTTTTTTGGGTCCTTATTACAATACGGCACCGATTATTTAGGGTACCCCCAAAGGGACCATAATTTTGACAACTACCCATCTAGGTTTTATGGTTTAGGATGTACCGACTCGGTTCGCTAGGAGTTGAGCAGATTTCTCAAGAGCGCACATCTGCGGCCAGTCCACACCTGGGCTTGGAGTACCATACTTTAATACTGTTTTTTGGGACCTGTTCCTTAAAGGAACCATTATGAAATAAAAGTCTATACTTTTTTCTCCCTGGTTACTTCAAAGCCCAGACACAGCGAAGGTTCCCCGCTGCATTGGTGTACGTACCCGCCCGGCGCTCAGACAGCTTAGGGGCACTTAGAAATAATTTTTAATCTTTGGTTACTATAAACCCTAAGAAGCAGTTAAAATTATAATTTTTGCTAGGGGTCTAAGTTCAGTATAGCAGGAGAAGGAAGGCCAGCAGTTACTGACATCATAACCAGAAGCCCTTAGCCCTAAGCCCAAATTCTCTTAACCCTAAACCCTAAACCTTTGGCCCCAAGCCCAAACCCCCTTAGACCCCGAACTCGAAGCCCTTAGCCCTAAGCCCAAACCCTCTTAACCCTAAACCCTAAACCTTTGGCTCCAAGCCCAAACCCCCTTAGACCCCGAACTCGAAACCCTGAGCCACTAAGCCCAAGGAACCGAGTCTCGTAGGCTGCAAATGAATTGCACAATAAGAGGGTAAACTTTCGTGCAGTCTTTCGCAAGGCAAACATGCTGTTGATCAACACGTAATGGCAGGTGAGCATGTGTCAACTTTGCAATTTGGCAGCTTGACACCTGTTTAGGCTTCAGGGCTTTGGGCTTGGGGTTCGGGTTTGGGATTTGGGGTTACTCCAGCAGCCCTCGCAATAGTAACCCTGGGCTTGTGTAGGCCACTATGCGCCTGCCAGAATTCGATTGCTAACCGCTGTGTGCCAGCGAAGAGGTACCTAGGCTTCAAGGACCTACTACCTGTAGCTACTTGAACCCCGCAAAATCTACAGGCTTAGGGTTCCTGTTTATGAGTTCCTTGGATTATGAATTCATGACAAGATAGTTTATTTTGGGGGGTTGAGCTAGTAGTTCTTAAGCTGGGAGATCATAGGCTGTTCTCTGGGGGTTTTGGGTTCTGGGGTTTAGGGTTCAGGGTTTAGGGTTCAGGGTTTAGTGGTTTAGGGTTGTTTTGGGGCTTAGGTTCCAAAAGCGGGGTCAGCCACATTTCAATGCTATACTCCAAACCCAACACGCCATCTTCCAGATTTCATGGATATCATGCTTCCTATCATGTGAGCCTCGTAAACACCTTCGTCACCTTAGTACATGCTGTAGGATCCCGGCTGCAATCCCGAAAGGGCTAGAGTTAGGTAGCCCTTCATAGATTCGATCGAAAGATTCGAGCTCGAGTCACAAGAGTTAGACACGCTGTCGAGGTTATAAAGTAAACCCCCAAAAGTTGGGAGCTAGGATTAGGTTCAGGGTTTAGGGTTGAAGGGTTTCGGGTTTGGGGGATAGAAAGATTTGGGGTTTAGGGTTCAGGGTTCAGGGTTCAGGGTTGAGAGTATTTGGGAGTTAGGCTTAGGGGGACCCTTGGGGATATAGACCCTCTCAATAAGGTCCTTTTTAAGACAGCCAAATCTAGGCTTCAGAAGTGGGTACCCTCAGGGTGGTACCCCTAATAATACTACCAAAAAGGTTGGAAACCGGATCCAGGGCAATTAGTGCTGGGATTCCCTATGCTTTACTCTTACCCTAAGGGTCCTAAGGACCCAATAATTAGGTACTCGGTTCTAGGATAGTAGCTATGTAGGTTAGGATTTTGGAGAGTGTATGATTATTAGGTACTTGGACCCTTGGGGTTAAGGATTGAGGCTATTGGGTTTCCAACGTTTGGGCTTTTACCATAGCCGACGTGTAGAAACTGTATACCAAGCTTCTAAAGCATGGCCTTCTAGAGCCTGTCGAGAACCTTTCTTAGCCCCAGCCGTTTCAGCCCTCAAAGGCCAGCATCGTGTTTATGCTGCTTTGCTGCGGTGGCCTCCTGGTCTACCGCTGTTTGAAGAGGCGAGAAAGAGTTTGGTGGCGTCGTTTGAGGGTACTACGGTAAGGGTACTGTAAGGGTATTGTAACCTTAAACCCTATCCCCTAAACCGCCAAAACCCTAAACCCCACGCCCTACGCCCTAAACCCTAATCCCTATAATCCCCTAAACCCCAAAGCCCTAAACCTTATCCTGGGAGATCCGGGGGCGGCATAATTAGTGAAGGTAGGTCGGGGATTGGGGGTTTCGTTGGGGACGTTCGGTTTCAGGCTTTAGGATCATTTGTGGTTTAAGCGAATTTCATGCGAGGACCTCCGTGATGGTTTCTACTAACCAATGACTATGTTAGATTTTTCCGATTCGTCTTTCTACCCTTCGATGTTGCTGCAGCACATGTCGATGCCACAAATAGCTTAATTTCTTTCATTTTGTCATGTTTATGTGCTGGTTTTATCTGGGCTCTCTTGCGGGTGCTGCACGGTTTCCACGGTTGCTTATGCTGATTCTGTCCATGGTTGCATGGCTAAACCGGTGTTCAGAACTATGAGCATAGCACGATGGAAGCAGCGATCAGAAGGACAGCTACAGTATACCTCGCTGACATCAGTAACCCCGCAACATTGACTGTGCCGATTCATAGGGTGTAAGGTTTGTAATTCGGCTTGCGGGTTTAGGGTTCAGGGGGCTCCACGACTGGCTTGGAAAGCGAATCACATTCGGATTTAGGGTGTAGGCGGCCTTGAGGGTACTAGGCACATCTGCCCACACTTCGACAAAGGAGCGGGTCATTTGATAAGATTCTCCAGACCCTGCTACCAAAACGAGAGGCTCCTTGAGCACTTAGGCTAAGGGTCCAATTGCCCAAATAGTAGGGTTTCAAGGTCCAAAAACCATTCAGAGTATGGATTTTGGGGCCTAAAACCTTACTATTTGGGTACTCGGACCCTCTGGGTTAGGCTAAGGGTCTTTTTAGACAGGAGAGAAGTCTCCTATCTATTCGTGTTATTCGCTATGACACCCATATTTTTCCATGCAGAGCACACGTTCACAAACAGTTGAACTTCATAACTGTCCTGCATTTTACGGTAAATACCGTGGTTTTGCACAGAAAGAACCACAGACATCGGGAGGAGCGGCTTTTTCAGCCGCATTCCGAGCCCGTCGTTGCCCAACCCCGTCCTGATTCGAAGGCCCGGGCTTCGGATGGTTTGGGTTTGGGATTGAGGGTTTCGGGTTTGGGG